GCTTATCCCCACAAATACTGCAAGGTTCTTTAATTACTCGTTTAGGCATTATTTTGTGAAAAGTTTGTATTTAATTTCGCATAAATACCAACATTTATCAAACTATTATAAAATTTAGCGCAAGATAGCGAGTAACTAATGTACTCAATATTATATGACATAATCTCCAATGAAGTCACCATTAGTTTAATTTGTAACAAGGTTTACTGTGGTCACAGATACTATGGTTACCGATTATATGTTTATAAGTTATACTGTAAAGTATAACTTAAATTTCTAGTGCTGTTTATAGATTTACCCAATAACATTTATCGTAATCATGTGATATAATATAATACTGTATATTAACTCATTCATATAGTCATTTATATAATAACTTTATGTGACCACCAGTGTTACAATTTGGATAGTACACAATGTACCTAAAATTTAGGTCCTAAATTATGCTAGAAAATAATAAAAGTGCTAACTTTGAAATCATACGGTATATTGAATATTTAGAATATAGAATTTTAAATAAAAATTATATTTTATAAATTATAATAAACTTAAATTTTATTATATACCACACAAGTACAGTAGCTTATAAATCAGTATTCATGATATTGAAAATATATTTTATTTTCTTAAAATAATACATTATTTAAATTTATTGTAGGGTACCGTAAATGTTTATGAATTTAATTTATATTCCAAATACATAATTAGTATAATCAACTAAACATACAATATGTCAGTGAAACAAGGAATATATGAATTTAAAATATTGAAACTTATATATGGACAACAATTCAAACACATACACAACTCATTATAAACCAATTGTATCATACATTAACGAATACCATTAATAAGTTTTAAAATAACAATTAACTAATTCAATATGTTGATTATCTCAAATTGCACGTAAGTTTGTGATGATCATAAAGTATAAGAATAAATTGTTTATAAAATTAAAAATCTATTAAAACATAGAGTCTATAACTAAATTGAGTCCTTAATCAACACATTTTCATTTAAGTTAATTGAACTCAATTTCCTGTAATAGCACTAAAGCTTCCAAAGCCTATCTGGGAATAGTCGCAAACCTCCCGGAGCAAAGGGCTCAGTTTATCCTGGGCCATTTCGATACAGCTTTTCACGTGGGTCTCCCTCAAGAGGTTTAAATCAATTAAAGTGCTCATTAGCCGCAGAAATTTGGTTTTTGATTCATATTTCGACGGATATCTCATCATTAGATAGCGTTGCAGTAAATACATGTAAACGTGTTGTTGGAGTCTATTAACAGTTAAAAATTTTATATTTAGATAATTTATATTGATTTAAAATAATGGCATTTCCATGACATACTTAACCATTTCTCTGTACAATAGGTTCGGACGATCCGGATTAAATAACACGATTGCAGTCAACTATTATACAAACAAGGCAATTAATATGAAACATTTGAAAACAATATTTCTAATTTATAACTAATTCACATACTATATCCAATATAATAGAGTCGCCCTCCCATTCGGGTCTTATTTTTTCAAAACAACTTTTGTATGTTTGGTAGAGAAAGGGTTTATTTTGTTTCAAGAG